ATGTGTGTGTTGTCGCATCAAGCCAGCTCACGCCGGTTTTCGCTTCGAAAATACGAAGCAATTAATTCCAAATTGTGGCAATTAATTAGCAATAAATCATTAGACATGTTTTATTCTGATATGCTGACATGGCTGTTTCAGCTTGATGCACCTCTGGTTTACCGTGATAAATTGCTGTGTGCTGTTTCTTCGGCGATTTATGTGCGGGTTATTTAGTTGATTAATATACAGATCCTGTTACAAAAGTTGTTTGTATTATTTTGTTGTAAAATTAATTGTTTGTATTAAAAAACATAAAATGAAATCAGTTCGAGAAAACTGATTAAAGCTTACAAGTTGGAAACTTTTGTTTGTGGGTGGATGGTGAAACTTCTTTTAGAAGTGTGACTGTAAATGATTTGGTGACCATCTTCTTTTACATCGACTTTTCATGTCGTCGATATCTTGACTAAGTCGCACACCATGTTCGTCACTCACGTCTCCTTAAATTAAGTGGGAAGAAATCCAAATGGTAATGAAGGAAATCTAATTTCAGAGACATGTTGCACCACATAGCCTCGTAACAGTCCAGGATGTGTTCCGCCAATTCCTTGTAATTCTCACACATTACGTTTCCAAACAAATTGTCACATACATCTTTCAATGCCAGCGAAGGTGCCTTCTCAGTATCCGTCAGCAAATGTTCAATGGTCATATCTGTCATCAGGTCACGGATCTGAAGCCCGACGAAGATTCCTTCTTTAATATTTGCAGAACTAATCAAAGAAAGTCAGTGAAAATTGAAAACCCTGGCCAAATTTGTCCATTTCTTACACGAAATTCTTCATAAAGCTCAATTTCAGATTGAGTACAACAGCATACTGTCTTTATCAACAAGGGTTTCATGCAATACATTTTTTTCACTACATTTCTAAGTTTCTCTCAAAAGTCACTCCTTGACTACACAATCTTTCCTTAACCTGCTATCCCAGTGACACAAGAAATAGCAATATTTTGTGTAAGCAAACTGCATTTCTAGACGACAATAGGCGCCATTCTTCCGGATTGTGAATTATTCCAAATTTTGTAAGAAGACCATTTATGTGTCATTACATTATACCATTACAGTACATTACAATATATAGTGTTTCATTGTAACAAGTTTTTTTCTTGAACACGAGACCCAAGTATTTATGTTTGTCTCTTTGAAGATTTAGATCTCTTACAAGATCGTTCAATTATGTCTGCGACATTGGCTGTGGTTGTAGCCGTGCTGCAGATTGTGTGTACACAAGATCTTCGTAATTTGTTTCATCTTTTCTATGTCCATTCCGTTGATGGTTTTGGAACTGGCAGAGAATTAAAATGCGGAACTGAGCGCATTGCAGATTCCAAACTTGGATAAGAAACTGTGGGTTTTGATTTACTTGTGATTCCTCTTACTTTCGTTAAAGAAACGTAGCAATCTGATGTAGTAACTAAGTTCCCTCCACAACGGTGATATTGCAAATGGCATAGATGGGTGGTTCCATGCAACCGGCCTCTTAAATACCGGGAGCAAAGGGAACTACGGTTCTATGGTGCCAACACCGTCATCTGCCTCTGATTCAAAATATACTCGTTGCCTTTTTGGCAATCGAGGAAATGGGATGTTTTTAAGACTTAGTCGTAAATTCGTCGCACACATAACAAAAAAGATTTCGTGAATTATCTCACTTCCTAGACATCGCTGAGTATAAGAAACACCCGAACGCGCACAAACAATATTCTTCACGTAAGCGGATGTAGACACTTCAAGAATAAATAGTGTGTGATCTCGATTGACAGATGTAACTACAACTTGCCTATGTGACTGTATCCCCCTCCGCTGTCTACTCCCACCACTAAATAATATTCTTAAAATAAAATGTGGCGGTGCGGCAACATAAATAGCAGACCACAGAGCGCAGATAAAATTGCATTTCCAGAAGAAGGATCTTGCAATATGTAGTAAACCAACTTGTGATTAATTCTTTTATGTTGTATATCTGACCTATTCGTATCGGCCATCGGGCCACATGCGGCCCGCCGAGAACATTTATACGACCCGTCGGGTGGTAATGTCGCCGCTGTCTGACTCTCAGATTTTTTACGTGAGAAGAAAGGCCAACGTAATTGCTGGTATAAAGTTTTTGTTGCCCTGTATTACACATTCACTTTACATTTGCAGACGGAGAGATATGTCACCGCCGACTGTATGAGAATCGCCCGTCTACAGTAAATAGTGATCGATTAGATTTTATACAGAGGGCGGAGAGCGGGATATAGGCCCGTTCATTGTTCAATAGATTGTTTAATTTCTTGTTTAATAGATACGTGCAAAGGAGAAATAATATTTCCAAGCAATTTATGAATAGTGTGTACTGTCGATGACAAAGTGTATTGTACTGCAGCGCTGTTCATCGTTCTTTCTAATCGTATTATTAACTCCTTTTCTTTTCCTCGCGGCAATAGTTCACTACATTATTTATAATGAATTATTTGCCAGAACGCACTCTTGCATACTGAAGCGGATTTGATTTTTTCGAAGACTTCGCAGAAACTACAAAAACAAAACAAGCACTTTTTCCCGGCCTGTCTCCGCTGGCGTCAGAATTGGTCAGATGCTGTTAGACATCGGCAATATTCGTGCATTCTCGTGGGACCTCAGTTTCCAAAGAACATTTACTAGTTACATATTTTTGTAATTTGAAAAAAAAAATCAATGCAGCAAGAAAGAAACAAATATTTTTGCACTTTGCGACAGATATGCCAAATTTTTAGTTGCAAGAGAGAGTTCAATCACTTTAAGAAATTTAATTGCTGCGATATTACAGTTTATCATATTGCTGATTATGAAAAGTATTCTAAAGCTTAACAAAAAAATGTTACTAATGCATTAATTAAGGAAATACTGCCAGTAAAGGAAATTGAAATTAAAAATTGAAGCTAAAAGCGAAATGTATTTGTTTCAAGCGTTTCACATTGTGATGTGTAATGGTTCTTCTTATTCGAAATTTACAAATTTTCAGAGAAAAAAATACCGCTCAAATTGTACGTTCTTCCCAACATACTTAACATTCGAGCACCATTCCGAAGCAGTTTCGGAATACATTTTTGAGGGACGTTCTCATAAAATTCTAAGAAATGTTTCTTTTGTTTGAAATGTTTCTCTTAATTCACCGACACACTGCAAATCAGTTATTTGTAATTGAAACTCACAAGAAACAAAGCCTGCATAAAGAGAAAAAGGTGTAGAAAATATACTAAATTATAATTGTAAATCAAATCCTTAGATCGGATTTCAATTTCCGAACGCAATGTCCTGAATACATCTACGCACCAGTGGCACGCGTCCGCACTGGTGCTCTCTCCGGTGTCTCGGTGTCTGGTGCCTTGCCACGAATTGCCAACGCTCTTGGTTGTTTTACTGGGTTTACTGCATTTGCCTTCTGGCCCTTCGTTTTAACACGAGAAGCATGGGCCTCTTAGTGGCACAACCAGTCGAGTGGCGCTGTCTAGCACTGCGCAGCGACGGAGAAGTTTCAGGGGAATAATATCATTATTCTGTCTTCCTCTGACTTGCCGCAACGTAATTTTATGAATTTCACTTGTTATTGAAAGTACATAAGTTCAGTCAATTATTGACGATATTCAATACATTGTTTATGATTTTTGGAGAATTTTTAAAAGTCCCTTAACGTCTCGCTGAAACCAGTGTGCCTGCAGCTGGCCGGCCAGTAGCTTGCGAGCGTTCTGGTGAATACGAATGTGTGTCAAATCTACTTGATTATTGCCATATATACAAGTATATCAGGGTAATGAAGTTTTAGAAATAAAATAATCTTATTTGTATGAAAGGTGCCGAAGCAACAGTGCTTGTTGCAATGTGCTGGAGTCGAACTTCAGTACCCAGTGGAAATCAAAGCCAGAACCACGTGAGCTGGAGGTGTATGTACCTTACACGAACACAACGCATACAATTATGTAAGTAATGTTTTAATATAAACATTTATTTAACTTAGTTTTAATTAATTTCCTTGAATTGCTTACATTTTTGTTATATTAAAGGGTGAAAATCAGAATGGTATAAGTGACATTTTATAAATTCTGAGAAAACGTGTTCATTTTACGCTATATTTCAGTGGAAATGTACTTTCGTGGTTTTAATGAACAATTGAAATGCCGTTGTTTTAATGATGAAACGAAGCATAACGACTTTACAGTAATATTGACTTAAACAGATTTCTCATCTGTCACACGCAACCAATCTTTATAAATGAGGTCTCTAAAGAAAGAGACTTTCACCAAGATGTGACGAATTGCACTGCACTTTGACTTTAAAAATATGAAGGATTTGTTTTAAAAAACCCAAAGGCTTGAAAGCAACTTTTCTCGCATTATAATCTACAAGATGAGATATTCATTGACATTGTATTATATGTTGCCGGTTCGGCGCTTATCGATACTATCAATATCACATATGCACGGATGAATACAGAATATATTCCTCCATGAACTGTATTTCAACCCTTGGTGCTGGTGGCCAACTTGTGACGTAACGATTAAAAGGCTTAGAAAGCTCCATCTTATATTTACGCTTTCTGTGTACACCGTTGTTTGCGCAGACTGACGAGGTTTACTTACATAATTATTAACTCAAGATTCGCACTCGCAGGATCAAGTAGAAGTACTATTAATAGTTGCTTGATACCAATGAAGAATGTTCCTTATGCGTGAAGTGCAACCATTCATTTAACGTTTTGCCGTGGTCTACAAGTGCTGTGAACCTGCTTGTGGAGGGAACTACGATGGGAACGGACCAAATGCTCCCATGTTTTAGTTTCACGATAATCTTAGGAAGAAATAGGATGGGGTTTAACTTACGAGAGTTCGCGCTCGGTGAATCCGCTAGTCTATTTTATTAGGGAATGTTATTAATAAATCCGGAGAACACAGGGTACTTCAGCTAGTGCACAGTGTAACTATGAAACATCACTTACTTGTCGGGTACGGTCCGTAGAGCCAGTCTTCAACTTGACCAATTATTGCTTGGTTTATTATCGGTTCAAATT